GTGTAGAAGTCCATCACTTCACTGAAGTTACTGTGGCAGGAGAGTGAGACAAGTGGTCACATTGCAACTACATCAAGAATCAGAGAATAACAAGTGAATGCATATATGCTAGGACTTAGATCACATTCTGAAGTTTATACAGCCTTTCCCAGAGAATGCTCTCACTTACAATTAAGATTGCACTTCCCATACTAAATAAATAAGCAAAATAATCCCAAATAGGCAAATTGAGAGGCCCATCTCCCAAGTGATTCTAAATTTTGTTAACAACACTTAACCAGCACTAGTATTTTTTGTTCAACATGTATATTTTTTTCTTGGTCCACCAAATAACTTTGCAATTATAAATATTAGTTTTTTTTCTGCTTTATAGTACCTCACACAAAAGATCAGGAGTTATTTGGATCTTAGGAAACAAAGACGTTATGAGTGGATCAGCCCAAAGTTAAAGAGATAGAATGTAGGCATCAAAGACATTGGAAATGATTCATCATGCTGATAAAAAAAAAAAAAGAGAAAATCTTCTCCTTCAGTTTTGTGTTAAGTATCTCTTTGTGTATATCGTCCTAATCAGGGAGGCCAGATTTTAGATGCAGAAAGAAACACACCCACACTCCCACTCCTTCCCCTTAGCCAGCAAGCTAGGAGAACCTTGAGGTTTGTGGTCTGTTATCTCCATTAACTCCTCAGTGAAAGATTAGAATTAATGCATTTACTCTGGGTATTTTTATAGGATGGTGAGGTAATAGCTAAAGATAGTAGATAAAGGTTAAAATAATATGAAATTAGAAACTTCCAAAAGCACCAACCTTAATAGTCTCCACTGGCAATATTCCCAGTGATGTTTCCACAGGCCAGCTGTGACAGAACAGGCATGCAGAATTATCCTTTCCTCTTCAGTAATGTAGTAAACCATTGTACTCTCAGATTTCCCAAATGCTATTACCACTGCATATCCGGGCAAGGAATTAGCACTTTATTATTGCTCTTGAGAAATGACAATAACTCAGATACAGAGAGAACTTCTGTTTACCAGGGTTCTGATGGCCACTTTAGATACCCCAGAAATGTGACCAAGAGCCATTTAATTAATTAAACATAAATACTTGTGAATTGCATACATGGATTTCCACAGCTTTTCATAGATAACATAAGTTTCGTGTAACTCAGACCATTGGGAAATAGCTAAAAATTGCACCTCCCATGTGGAAGAGAGCTGCTGTGTGATGCATCCCAGCACTGAGGGACTGCTGCCAACTAGTAATTCATATGAGAAATACTGGCCCCTGGGTTCAGCAAATGAGCCCCTGCAAGAATCTGTCGGCTGCTCCCATACTTTTGTGGGTAACGTATCTGTTGGTTTTATCATTCGAAAGCTTTGAGAACTACTGAAATTTTAGCTCTATTGGCACTAAGTGGTTAGTATGAGCAAAGATTGTGTCTTAATGCTGCCCTCCTGTGGCTCCTACCAATATCATCTAACATAACTGTCAATCTGTGGGTGCTGAATGGACCAAAAGGACCCGTTTCCTATTCCTCTGAGCCTGTGCTAGGTCAGTGTTTGGTTGAATCAGAGTAAATATAGGATAACATTAGGAAAAGCACCCCTCCATAAGCTAAACTGCATCTCAAGTACACAAGGCCATCCTGAAATAGCAAAATTTTAAGAAACCTATCCAGTGTTCAGAATGTGATAGAGCTTCTATTAGTCCTGCCAAGAAATCACTATGGCTTATGGTGACAGCTGATACATTTGCAGGGTTAGATAACACCAGAAACAAATGGACTAGACAACGGGAAAGTATTTGGTGTGAAATTGTATTTTTATGAGTGAAAGATGTTCAAGCCAGAATCATCATAAGATATCCAAAAAGTAATCTGTCTGTAACTGGAACATTACAAATGCCTCTTAAGCCAGTCCTGTTTTCTGCTTTCCATGTGTCTGATACCCTGCAATTTCAAGTTCTGTAAAAGCGATATATAGTTTTTTGACAAATACACCCATGTGTGGTACACAGTTTGATTTATATAAACTCATTTTGAATGCAGAGGCAGAATTCCTCCTGAACAGATGAAAATATCTGCCTAGAGTGATAAATGCATGTGTGGAGAAATATAGAGTTGTAAGAAGAGATTTTTTTTTATGAGAAAGGGTTTGTAACATTATTTCAAATTTTCCCTTTAAAAGATCTCTAGAAGACTTGATTTTATTTTTATGGTTTTTTGTGTCAGTTTGGATGTTTACCTAATTTGAGAAGGAGTCTTTTCTGCCAAAACATTTTGCTATGACAGAGCATAGCTTATGTGCAATTGCTATGTAGAAGATATCAGTATAGCACAAATGCTTCACATCAGAGTTCTCAACCTGTGGATCAAGACCCCTTTGGGAGTCAAATAACCCTTTCACAGGGAATTAAATATTAGGTATCCTGTTTTCAAACATTTATATTACTATTTATAACAGTACCAAAGTTACAATTAGGAAGTAGCAAAGAAATAATTTTATGGTTAGGGGGTCACCACAACTGTATTAAAGGGCTGCAGCATTAGGCAGGCTGAGAATCATTGCTTTACATGTTCATGAATTTACTATTGAAGCAACTAGACCAATAGGCTACTAATGCAGATCAACATAGCTAGGCTGTGAAATAAGATGATACCCAGCAATCTCATTCACCATGGTCTGCTGATGCAGTTTCTGCCACATACCTCACTAGTCAGTAGTGCTTAACTTTTCTGAGAGACAGAAGGGGAGAAGAGAGAGGGAGAGAGAGAGGGAGGGAGGGCGGGAGAATAGGAAATGAAATTTGATTTTTTTATGTGTTTGATATATATATCTTTGATATATATTAATTATAGCATAACATTTTAGTCATACATAGTATTCCCTAAGTTTTTTTTTATTATTATCTTATCCTCTAATATTTAATAGTTCTGCCCTAATGACCTGTTCCATTGATTCTTTTACTTTTATGACGTAACTTTGTAGACCATACTGGTAATACAATATTATAATATACAATTTTCATTATAAACAACTGGACTTGTACTCTGTCAATTTTGTTAACCACTCACAAGGTATTCCTTGAATTGCAGATTTTTATGAACTCAAAGTACACACAAAGAGCACAAAATATCAGCAGCTGAGTGATTCATTTAATTTCAACTTCTTATGTGATACCAGCTCGGTGTGTCCATTATCAGTATATATTATGTTACAGAGTAATCGTCTCAACTTTATTTGTACCTAGGCAATTTTGACAAATATTTCTACCATGAAAGTCCCTAATAAAAGTCCACTTATTTCCACTATATCTTGGTTTGAATTTTTCGAATCACTAGTTACAGATAAGCTTTGTAGTGTAGGCCTATCGTCCTCATTTTGGGGAAGACTGAGATGGGACACTTATAAGTTCAAGGTATTCCTGGTTTACAGCCACTGGCAAAAGCCAGTCTTGGAAACTTAGTATGACTTATCTCAAAATTAAAAACATTATAAAAGCCCTGAAGACACAGCACTATAGTAGAATTCTGGAAACCCCAGGTTCAATTCAGCCCTTTATTTAAAAAAAATCACTAGCTATGGTGTGAATATATTCAAGAAATGGGCCCATAGGAAGAGGAGATGTGGCTCAGCAGTGAAGAACACTTGCTGCCCTTGCAGAGGACTCAGGCTTGGTTACCAGCACTTCCATGACTTAACATCCACTATCCGTAATTCCAGTTCTTGAAGATCTGACAACGTCTTCTGCTTGTTATGGTCACCACATACATGTGGTACATATATGTACATGTGGGCAAAACTGCATACATGTGAAAAAAGTTTAAAATTGTTTTAAAAATAGGCTGTAATGCACCTTATCCATGTGTATACATACTCACTTGAAGTCCACACTCAAGTCACTTATAGCTTGGATTTAAATGTTGTCTTCACTGTGAACTGGAGGCTTCATTCTATGACGTTAAATTGCAAGGAATCAAAAACTTAAAATAAGGCACAAATTACAAAAGGAAAAGAGTTCATCTGGTTATTCAAGAATTGCTCCTTGCTAAATAACTAAATAAACTGAGAAGAAAACAGATCTTTCAGAAAGGCTTTATTAATTAGTTGGTTTGTTTGTTTGTTTGCTTGCTTGCTTGCTTGTTTATGTGAAGCTACGGATGAGCTGTTTTGTTTCAGAAAACTAGTAATCATTTTATTTTATTAATATGTCAGCACAGCATAATGTATCCATGTGAGTGGATTCTTCAGAGCAATAGAAGTGAGTGGGTAACATGATTTTCTAAATTTCTATACCGAATGCCAGTGATTTTTTTCTAAATAAGATAAGCATTGTATTGGGTACTGGTGACAAGCGTTGAACAATCCCTTTATTGTAAGGAGAGACTCACAGAAGACAATCATAAGGATTCTCTGATGGATACAGAGAAGGAGAGACAGGCAGAGACAGAGGGAGAAAGAGGGAGAGACAGAGAAAGACAGAGCAGAAATGCAAGAGAGGGAGGAAGGAAAGGAGATAACAAGGGAGAAAGGGAGGGAGAGAGAATGCTGTGTTGTAAACCAAAACCAGTAACTGTCAGAGAAGGGGGCCATGTTAGCATACATAATCAGGTAACTTGCCAAATGTAGCTTTTTTGTTTTGTTTCTTTCCCTATTGCTTCTCTTAAATTTTTAAACTTTTGTCCATTTGAAGGTAGAATAAATTTTTTAAGAGAATCCTCCACAGGGGGCTAAGAGTATTTCTATCTCGATCTTCATGGTGGAGGATACAAAATCCATCAAGTTATACATCCAGAAAGCAGTTGCACTTTATCATATATAAGTCATGAATTAAATTTTAATAACCCATAAAAACATACAGGGCTGCATGTTTTCCATCAGAAAAAAAAATTAGCTCCTGTCTCTGATGATCTGTAGCAAGTAACTATCACAGAAAGAAAAAAAGCCAAGTTGCTTTTTCCACCCATAATAATTTATTACTTTTTTATATTTTCTCTAGCTGAAAGTCCAGATTTTTCTAGAACGCTCTTAAAAAGAGTAACACTTGTCAAAGTGGGAGGTGAAGTTCTCATTGAGTGCAAGCCTAAAGCATCGCCAAGACCTGTTTACACCTGGAGAAAAGGAAGAGAAATATTAAGAGAAAATGAAAGGTACTGTGCAGAAATATTTTAAATATTTTATTAACCTGTGATAAATTGTCTTTCTGTTATACCTGAGCAAATAGTCAAATCCACAAGGTATATAACACAGTATATAACACAGTTGGTAACATTGACCTCCATGTTTCTTCTTAATATCGGGGTTCCAGAAGCCTTCCAAGCATAGAGAGATTTCATGAGTACTCAAAAATTGCCTGTAGGTGAGCAGCTAAAAATATATTTTAAGCCTAAATTTTTTTCTATGTGCATCTACCCATTGTAATTCCTTGGCTTAGTCAAGTCTGTCTATTACCATACCATGTAGGTGGCCTATAGCCATTGGTTCTGCATGATTGTTCATTATTTCATTTGTATCTCCTTATGACATCAGATTTGTGCTAATATCTAAATTATTTGCCTCTGCTTCCTATAATACATGAATTGCATTCAGAAAGGATATTGTTTAAAGGATGCAAATTTGTACGGGTTACTTGGAGTTTGACATCAGAGAGTACCAAGTAGCACATATCTCCACGACCTTGTCTTAGCTGTCACCCCTGTAAAATATCCTCTACCCCTTTCTGTAATGTATTCGATCTGTTGGAAAAGGGTAATTATGCATGAGCCTGTGTTTGTCACCCATAAGACAGGATTTACCAGCTGTATACATAATGATTTTAATTGATGTTAAAGGGCAAGTATTCATAGATCCAATAAGGAAACATTTAAAAATGTGTGTGTCTACCCTTTTACACCTGTACGCCTTCACAATTACATATACAAATTAGATCACTGCACTGATGATGTTATTCATTTCAATAGTTTTTATAAACAAATGGTATGGTTTCAAAGTCATATATATCCACACACATATTAACTTCATATTAGACATTTCTGATTCCTGATACATTAAGGAAACAGCCCAGTAGATACCGGAATGACATTCAATTTTTGTTGTTGTTGTTGTTGGTGGTGGTTTTTTTTTTTCGAGACAGGGTTTCTCTGTGTAGCCCTGGCTGTCCTGAAACTTACTCTGTAGTCCAGGCTATCCTCAAACTCAGAAATCCACCTGCCTCTACCTCCCAAGTGTTGAGATTAAAGGCATGCGCCACCACTGCCCAGCTGACATTCAAATTTTAAGGCAAATCTGTTAATCGAAAGCAAATAGGGTTTATTGTTATTAACATATTAATTATATATAATAGATTTATTATGACATTTTTGTGCATGCATATTATTTATTTTAATTATATTCACCCCTTACCCTCTCTTGTCCTCTTCCACTACCATAGGTTTCTTTTCTCTCCACACATAATCTCACTTCCAACTTCATATCTTGAGTTTTGCTTTTCAGTGACCAAGTAAGTTCAGTTAGGGTTCCTTATAAGAGCATGGACCAGTGAAGACACTGTTGAAGAAAGTGTTTCTTCCTCCACCAGCAACAAGAACAGCCTATAGCTTCTAACAGAGTGGGGCCTCATGACTCCCACCCCTTTCTGTAATATAACATCAATAGTCCCAAGTGTGGTGGAGGTTTTGAGCAAGCAGGTACACCTGCGGCAATTCAAGAGTGCAGCAGATGTATCATACCCACAAGATGGTATTCTGCAATATTGCACACTTTGGATTTTCTGACCCCTCTCCCTTTATGCTTTTGTAACTTTAGACAAGATGATATAGATGATCCACGGATGTCTGAGCATTCAGCAGTGACTTGTTTTTAGCACTTATATCAGTAGGAATCCAAACAGAAAGCAGAAAAAAAAAGGTTCTCTTATTAAACATGATAGCGCTGCTGGTCTGTGGGTAATAAGACAAATATTCAGATATACTTTGACAGATATATGGTGTCCATTTAGCAATAAAACAGTACTAGAAAACAGTGTTTCTTACTGAAACACAGGGAACAATCCACTTTACCATAATGTTTCTCAAAATGTGCTGTGTGAGATTACATTTAATAGAGAATACATACTTTTAATTTGTAATGTAAATGAATAAAATAATTAATAAAAATTAAGATGATTTAAGGATATAACATTAAGAGAATGACATGATGCTAAAGAAGGTTATTGCAGAGTGACACAGTTCCATACCCAGCATCGATGTCTGGTGGCACACAGCCTCCTTAACTCTAGCTTCAGGGGATCCAATGCCCTTTTGGGCCTCCATATATCCACCCACACAAACACAGCTAACACAGGGGGGAATAAAAATCTACTTAAATAAAATACTTTATAAAATGATATTTAAACACACATCAAAACCATGAATGAATAAAGTTTGAGAAATTATTGAGGACCAATCTAGAGAGTACACTATGCTAGTATAGGAAGCCATGACAATCTAAAACAGCAGAAGCCATTTCTCATTCACAATACATGTCAGCAAAGATCTGTTGGTGGTTCTGCCCTCCCACAAGTATGACCTCAGAAGACCAGCTCTTTCTGTAGCTTCACCATAATTAAAAGAGTCAAATTCACGGCCTTTTGGTGTTTCAGGCAGTGGAAATGAAGTAACTTTATGTTTACTGATACTACACTAGCCCAAACAAGCCAATGTCACCTTAAAGAAAACTATAATCTTGTTATATACCTACAAGAAAAGAAACAACTTAACTATCTATCCCTATTAATACGTGCCATCTTACTATTTTAGACAGCATTAATGGGTAGCTTAGTACCACTAAAGCTTAACCATTTCCACATAACTGACTTAATTTTCTCTTAGAAAATAGTATATTATTGTGTCAGTTTCTGTAGGACAGACCGAACTTGATTTATTATTTCCACCACTATGCTTACTACAAAGTTTTCCCTGTTCAGATTGTGTTGGTTTCATGAAGAGACATCAAGGATTCTTCCACACTCCTTTGACACAGAAAATGTATTTCAGCTGAAGATGCTCCCTGCTGTTACTTAGTTCCTGCTATTTACCACCTCCACCTCCAGTGTCAACAGGCTGGTCCCAAAGCATCAATATTAGCACATCATCTCCATATGGGTGCAATGTTCTCATGTCCCTGCTGCACTCTTCTTTCACTGTTATCAAATAGAATGGATTTGGTCATGTAGATATGTTAAAACCAGACGACTGGAATATAATGGGGAAAGTCAGGATGTCCTTACTCCACAGCCACATGTAGAAGAATGTCAGGTCTTGGACCATTTCATTTTTCGGGAGAAAGAGATGCCTAAATTTTTTTTTTTGAGATTCTGATTCTTAGAACAAGAGACCACTCTTTCTAACATGTTAATACAATCATAATGAATCCCATGAATCTATGCAACAAATTGGTTACATAAACAATTAGCTTTTAACCCCCAAGTAAGACACATGCCCTGTTGAACATTTCCTATAGTTTAAAGAGCTAGAAATCGAACAAACCTAACTATTGTTTCCTCATTGGCAAAAATAAGTGCTATTTTTCTCTCTTTTCTGATAGAGATGGAAGATAATTAAGTGGACAGATGAACAAAATCAATCATAAGTGTTATCTGCGAGTGAAAAAAATCACAATCCATGTTTTAGGAGAAGATTGAGATAGTGGGCCAATACAGAGGGTAATTAGTATTGAGTAATAATTTCTAACATACTGCCTTATTAGCCTTAATTCTCTATTGAGACTAGACCCTTCATAATCAAATACTGAGTCTTTAGCCTTTGAATACAAATTATTAATCCCTTAATTACAAAGCATTGGTGTAACTACACTAAGACAAAACTCCATTATCTACTATCCTATTTTATTAATATTCTTACTATCCTATTTAAAAAAAATTTAGTTGCTTATCAGTTGCTATTTAATTCCAGTTTCAACTGTTTAGCTGTTCATACATGAGTTTGCCATAAAAGCATAAGGAGTAACAGGAAGCAAATGTAGAATCTTTTACTTAAAGTCAGATGATAGTGGTTGTATTAGTTCAGTGGATAGAACCTTAGAATTACTGGTTTAACATCAGTATGTTAATTGTTTTTAATGTATAATGATAAAATTATTATTTCTATTTGTTTACAAATTTAAAACATATTAACTTTGCTTTACTCATATTAATCCAACCATCCAAATTAAAGTTGAAAAAGTAAAGTAATTGTTTAGCTTTGCTCCAGGGCAGGCACCACATCCATACGTCCATGGAATGTTTCCCATTTTCTTATACATTTGCCAAGCTATTAGCGTTAGGGATATCAGATGTTTAGAACAGCTTCACTATTTCAGTCCTCAGGAGAGACTGCTAGTCACCATGGAAATAGTCCCAATCATTTGGATGAATTGAGCAATTAAGCTTACTAACTGAATAAAGTTGATTATTTTGTTTACTTTTATTTTTTCAACAGAAGGCCCTTGAGGCAAATAAGATTGGTTTTATGCTGTAACAAAAACATCAATATGCAGAAGTAGCAGAATCATTAATAACCTAAACTGCTAGAATTTTAAATACAAGGATAACCATTATATCCATTGGGATGGACCCTTATGATTTTAAGTTAGACTAATCTCAAACCAGGTTAATTATGAAAGTGAATTTTCTGGCTGCCTACTTGAGAACATGATGTGGAGACTGCGGCTCTGAGCATAGGTCATGAGAAACAACCAGAACTCTGTTACGTTTGCTTATGTCTCTTCAGCATCTCTATTTACCTTGGTTCCACTCTCCAATAAACTATTTTCTACTGGTAGTATGAGGGTCACCATTAGCCATAAGTTTTCCCTATATCTCAAGTGATCACAGACATTCCAGGAACAGATTTACTAGGTCTCAACTAAGCCTGCCTTGGCCCCGGTTCTTCTCTGAATCATGTGTACTCAAGGAGTATCCAATTACCTTTTGAGCTGATTAGACAGGTGTGGGTTGAGTGATTATATTTGAAAGCATATGGAGAAATGCCCCCTTCAACCACTTAGAACAATGATCCTCGACCTTCCTAATACCATGACCCTTTAATACAGTTCCTCATGTTGTGGTGAGCCCCAACTATAAAATTATTTTTATTGCTCCTTCATAAATGTAATTTTGCTAGTCTTAAAGAGGTTTGTCAAGGAGGTCACAAGCCACGGGTTGAGAACCACTGACTTAGACTGAGAGTGATGTACAAGGTTTACCAAATAAATCTAGCTGTGACTGCAAATACTGAGAAATCGGAATGGGCAGACACCATTGCCAAATGCCTCCTACTACAATCCCTATAAATCCCATCCCTCATCCAGGACAAGGATCCACACAAGACTTATCCTTCATCAAGTCCCAAGTACTTCTAATGATGGAGAAGCAGCTAGATGAGAAATGATATTCCCAGTGCCATCCACTCTCTTGTGGTTCTACTTTCTGAAGCTGTACTGACAAATCTAGTCCCTTGTTACTTCTCTCCTCTTGTTTCATTTTGTACTTACTGGAAATCTACTCACAT